ATCTCGCTCGCCAAGGCCACGTTCTTCGAACCGTACTAGTTTGGTTAGTCTGTGGTGTGGCTCAGGAGCGATTAATACGGTTTTGGCATGCATGAAACTGAGGAGCTTGCAGGAAGGTGTGGAATGACACCGGGGACATGCATATGACTAACAGACATTTTATAATTTTTCAATGGAGGAAGCTCGAGCACTCCTTGATCAGCTTATGGGGCGTGACCGTAACGCTACTGCAGCTGCCAAGTCAAAGTCGTCAGAAAACAGGCTAAACTGGCTAACTCAGGATCAGTACTGCCCCTACTATCTGGTGGATTTCTGGTAGCATAGGCTGTCTCCTATGGTTGCTGCTCATGATGGTTGCCTCAGCCCGAATGAGCTCTTCGTGAATACTCGTGCCTATATGGGCAGTTGTGGGAAGGAGCATTGTGAGTACACAAAGTTTCGGTTTGATCAGATGGAGGACGGTAGAGAAAAGAGGGAAATAATTGACAGGTCTGTTGAGGCACGATAAGGGAGGTTATGGAGCTGACTATTCGAGAGTAGGTACGAACGTAAATTACTGAGTTATTGCGAGTACATGGAGACTCAGCTGGCGCAGAAGATCCGCAGAGGTATGTGGCGTATGCAGGATGCTCGTCATCTGTGCTGCTTCAGGAAAGGCTAGGGTAGCAACGGAGATACCGGATATAGAGGTTCCTGCTCAGAATAGAGAGAAGATTGATGAGCTCCGGGTACTATAGCTGACTGTTTTGCGTGTCGCGGCTTCTCTCGAACAGTTGTAGTATCTAAAATATATGTAGTATCATCATTGTATCGAAAATAGTAATGTGAACTTTCTAACATTCTGAACTAAATGCTCTGCATAAGGAGAGATGTGTCTGAATGTATAATCAGGAATTTATTTTACTAGTGCGTATCTTTGAGTGGTTGTGGCATAGGCGCCCCACTCGTAGAGGATTTGGTTCTACCAGTGCGTATCTTTGAGTGGTTGTGGCATAGGCGCCCCACTCGTAGAGGATTTGGTTCTACCAGTGCGTATCTTTGAGTGGTTGTGGCATAGGCGCCCCACTCGTAGAGGATTTGGTTCTACCAGTGCGTATCTTTGAGTGGTTGTGGCATAGGCGCCTCACTCGTAGAGGATTTGTCCATACTAGTATGTACCTCTGGGTGACGTAGTCGCTCCACTCGTAAGAATTGATTCCATCAAGGCATATCTTAGGGTGGCATAGCTGCCCCACTCAGAGGAATTGATTGTACTGAGGCGTATCCTGGGGTGGCATAGTTGCCCCGTCCGGACTGATCGGCCTTACTATGGTGTTAGGTTAAAATCAACAGTTTGGTCAAGGAAGCCGAGAGCTTGGCGGAGAGGGGCCGTTTGGTGGATTCTGAGAGGAAAATGTCCCTGGTACATGATGATAGGGATGAAGATAATTTCGTGGCGCGTGACGGTAATTATGTCATTTCAGATCGAGCCATTGAATGACAAGATTCGTGACCTGAGTGGCGAGAAGTACCTTCATATGACGCGTACGGAGTTCGTTTGTGACGTTTGCGGTTGTCTAGTCACTTTGAACGAGAACGACTCTCGGATCACTTTGGAAAATCACGAACATGCACGGTAGGTCGCTTGGGTGGCTTTGATTCGTGATTTGAGTCTAATGCACTGAAGATGGGGATGGCGGGAAGAGAAGCTTTTGCTTCCTCAGTGGTATTGTTGAGGCAGTCATCGTGTTACGGAGAGTCTCAGGCATTTTGACTTGCTGGCTGCTCGTCCTCCACAGTGAGGGGTTTGGATAATCGTACTTCCTCGTTGCGCATATCGATATTGATGGTATAAATAGTACTCTGATTCATTGCAGTGGCAAGCAGCATCAAGGCTGGGCGAAGATAAAGGAAACCAGCAAAGCGTTGAGAGAGAAGTTTGCTTCGGGTAGAGGATTGCCCTTATCCCCATCAACGAGGGAAACGCCACGGGTTGAGAGGACTCCCATTGAACGCAGGTGAGGCTGGCACTTCTACTCTATTAGCTGTAGTGCAGCGTTATGTTGGGTTATCCTGTAGATCTCCGCCACGCTCTGAGACCAAGAAGGTTGAAGAGAGCCCGAAGAAGGAAACGAGCAACGGTCCAGAAGTGGATGAAAGGAAGAGTGAGGAGTACCAGTCGAAGGTTGAGGATTGGAGGACTCATCTTTCTAAGATGCGTAAGGCGCCGTCTAGCTGAGCGGCTCGAGCTAGGCACACAGTGCTTCTTTGAATCCCGGCCCTGTTGCAATCTCTGGTACACTCAGCAGTAGCAGATGTGTCTCGTAGTTAACGAAGTGGAGCATATGGGGGGAGTAGTCGGATAGGTCGGTGGTTTTCGACTAGCACAGCTCAATTTATTCCGCGCATCAGTACACCATTAGTGGAAGTAGAGTTCCATCGAGTGCGAGAATCTGCTTCGTCGTGGTTCTTTCCGTTGGATTCACCACTTCGAGCTCATAGAGAACGCCCAGGTGAAAGGAGTTGGAGAGCCAAGTTAATCCATGGTCAGGTTCAAAGAAGCCGAAGCATCGACATCATAGAGAAAAGGATTGTCACCACCGTCGTCACCGGTCTCGCTCTCGTGATAAGAGGGACCGCAGTGGTAGTCGTGATTGAAGTGAATGATAGTTCTCATTTCTAAACATTTGATTGGAATGTCATCAGATTCGTCTTGAGTTACATCGCAGTTACCTCCACTGTGGTCTACATTGTGTCTCGGTGAGTGCGCCTCGCAATGCATAGTACAGTTATAGGGTAGTAAGGCACGTATTGTGGCTTTATTGCTACTTGTTGCTTTTCCATGCGGGAAAATCTTTCCCATTGGGTGCAGCTTGATTCTGAAACTTGATCAATGAATGTGACGGCATCATCTCTGAGCAACAATAAGTGACAAAATCCATGGAAGTTACAGTTCAAATTACGTTAAATCTATTCCTGTCTTCGCTGTTCTCATCACTGCCAATCTTGTTCGACTATCCCGTTGCACATTCTTGGAGTTAGCGCAGGCTTCTGCGAGATCCATGAGTTTCCTTACCTTGAGCAGGGGAACGCAGCTCAGCTTGCTGCTAATTCGCCTGCTGCTTATATCAACACGGAAAATACCTATATCTGATACCTCTTTTGGTGCAGGGAAAAGAGAGCATCAGTGGAACTTCAGTTCGGGGAAAATTTTGCCCAATTGAAATACTGAGCTTTGACATTGTTCGGCTCATAGCTTGAAGAACTATCAGTTGACCCCAATGCATAGAAATTGTAGAACGTATACGTCTCCTCTGACGTTATCAGCTTCGCTGAGATCATCATGGCCTTATAGAGTCGCCCGGCCGAACAGCGACCAAGAGTGAGAGAGACCTTTGAATAACCCTTTACTGTATACCGCTCACGGGTGTTATTCGGAGAAGGATTGTTGATTTATAGACTATAGCTCCCTTTCGAGTTAGTCTTGATAGTTATCGTTGATAATCATCTTAATGTTGATCAGTTGTTATTCTTCGTCGATTGTGGTTGGTTTCTCCGTCAAAATGGAAGGAACTCGTCAAAATGGTTTTTTCATCGGTCGAAACTCTGCAGGCCTTTGGGAATGCGGTTTGTGCAACGTAGGGCTATTCCTCTTAGTACAGTGATGAACGGTGGTTTGTCGCTTTTTCTATTAGACAAGCGTCTGTTACGAGGGCATGTTGGAGGACCATATACGGGGCAAGCAACACGC